TACAAATCAAACTAATATGCTATTGATAGCAAGATACATCAATAGTATATTTGGATTTGAAGTGTCATGAGTACTTTGATTAGTTTGATTTGCACATTTTATTCTAGTAGCTAGAAAATTCCATTTAAAATTTTATAATAATATTTTTAATTAAAAATAATATTTTAACAATTAAATAATGAAATCTGAATTTTAAAATATTTTTAATGATTTAAATTTTTATTAAAATTTAAATTAAATTAAAAGACAAAAATACCCCTGATCTCGTCACGTCAACAGCCGGAAATAGTGAAATGGGACCAAAAAAATGTGAAACATAATGTTTGGGACTACGATATTGAAATGTTAATGTAAGAGATGTAAATTCAAGTAGGTCCAAATGTAAGGGACCGGTGCCCCGGCCGGTGAGGGAGATTCGCGCCGGGGCGTGCAGAGCTGGCGCGGAGATCCGAATTCTAAATACTCCTACATAATTCTAATTCAAAAAAACAATCCAAATTTGCGTACCTTCAGTTTCCGTAACTCTTTACGTAGCCGTTTCATTCGTTCAGCCATTGAATCTAAGTTTTTGGGAGTTTGGATTGAGAGAATTTGAAATGAAAGATTGATTTAGGAATTGAAAGAATGAAATTGAAACTCTTAATTTATAAAATCATGTAAAGGTAAAATAGTTTTTTGGTGTTACATTAGGGCGTTCAAGAGAAATTTTTAGGGCGTTTAGTAGCCCTGTTATCAAAAATAACTCTATTACTCTAGCTTTACTATCAGTATTAGATTTTTTATACAGTGCTGACAAGTGGATACAAAAGTTGACAGCAGAAAGCGACACAACATTTGCTCCAAATCTGACCGAGCATGGGCCAACTTTTACTATAAATGATTTTGTGTTTTTTTTTTTAAAGCAAAAATAGTTTGTATTGGCGGGGAGTATAAACATCCAAATACACAGCAGTATTAAGTATTAATAACTACTCCCTCTATTTTTTATTATATGTCTTCCTAGAGAATTTATCTAAATCAAGAAAATATTAATTAATATAGTTAAAATACAAAAATACTCTTCTTATTTGTGTTCTACAGAATTCATCACAAATTAATAAAAATATTTTATCAATGCTGTTTCATTTCTAATGTAGGGTCAATATTGATGATCAACTATATATCGATTTGTTAAAACGACATTTATTTAAAAAAATTCACTATACCCTAAAACGACATATAATAAAAAATGGAGGGAATATTAAATATCACACTAGTTGGCAGTTATATTAGAAGGGATTTTTTTAAAAAAATTAATTGATGCCTGTATGCCGCATCTCTACCCAAAAAAGAAGGTATTTTTTTATTAAAAAAAATGAATGCTCCTATATGCGTGTACGTGTTGCTCTTCACGTGTCACTAACCAATCCCACGAATGCTTCCCCGACCAAAAGTATATGACTCTTTTTTGTGGGAAAATTTATCCAGGGACGTAGCTTTGTTTTTTTTTTTTTGGCTTATTGAACAGAAAGAATAAATTTTGACTAGTGATATTGCCAGCACAAAAAATAACATCTAGAGCAATTTTTAAATGCATTGACCAAATAACCCTTGTTTAGTCAAAGTGCGTGATTTCACCCTTTCATTCCTCATCCCTCCGTCCCGTTTAATGGTGCGCTTCTTGCTCCCTCTTCAGAATCGAAGTGAGTCTTATTTCCCCATCGCGAGCTCCATCACTCAAAACAGAACCATTTGTCAAAATTTTGCTGAGCTATTGGATCCCCCTAAACTACATAACTGTGGCAACAATATCATCACAACACCAATCATCAATTACTTTCTCTTTCAAAACTCAGTCTTCCAATTTATATGATAGAAATTTGGGAAAATCTGAGACCCATGTATGACCTATCACTAAAATACAGGAAAAAATTCGATCACGGGCAATGAAAAAAATTTAGAAATTGGATCAAAAATTTTGTCTCCCCGTGAGTTATAACCCAAACCTCTTTACCCACACTCATGTGATGATTAAAATACAAAGATAACTGAAATCCATACCTACAAAATAAAAAATTAAAAGAAGCACACACACACACACACACACTCACACTAACTTATACAACCTCCAGTTTAATTGCATATGTTGGCTAGAGGAGCATTGGATTGGAGGGATTATCAATTGGTTGGAGGTCAGATCGGAAATAAGAGGTTTGCTGCATTTCGTTTTTAGAACCTATCCATTCCAGACTATCTAGTGGATGGAATCATGATCTATCTAGAAATTTAAGGAGAGAGCGGAGAGATAAAAGAGGAGTAAAATTAGACTTTGACTAAATAAGGGCATCTTGGTCATATGAGTCAAAAATTGCTCTGAATGCTATGTTTTGTGTTGGCAATATCATTAGCCATAAATTTTGGGACATACGATCAAATAAATTAAAGTCTTGTAAGAATCATAAATCTGAAATACAATGTGAAAACTGCCGTGCAAGTTAGATCAGAACTAAATCTTCATTATCATTGCATTGGATTTTCTTTGAAATTTTTGTCTAACTATTGTATTTCTTAGCTTATATTTAGAAAGGTAATCACAATTTAGTCAAAAGATTTGAGTTGGATCTTCATTTTATCATGTCCACTTTATATTTTATAATGTTTATCATACTATTGTATTCTTTACCATATATTCTTCTCTTCTCCTCTCATCCTTTTCTTCTTCTTCTATTATTCTCTTCTTGTCTCTTCTCTTCTCTTCTTCTTCTCTATATATAAAGTGACAATCCATAACTCCTCCGTTCCTTCGTTGGTCGTCTCAATAAGTAGTTCATCTTTCATTATCAAGGATAGTTGTCAATTCAGTGAATCTATCTTTTCACAAATAATCAAAGTGGCAATTGACACAGAGAGTATAAAGGGAAGCGAGAGTCAAAAAACGAAGAACGGCTCAAGCTTCTGCCGTTAAACTGTGTATTAGGGTTTAGTCTTATACAAGGAGTGTGTAATAATCAACTCCCTAATTTATGGTACAACAATCTAATCTATGGTAAATACATAATTTACAGTTAATGATAATATGTATTCCATATATACACAAATATATACCGTAGTAGAGTAGTTGGTCCAACATCATTCTGAATCCTTCTTTTGTTTGTTTGTTTTTTTTTAAATTTTTTTTTTCATTATGAACCTAAAAATTTATAATAGGAATACAGTTTTTGTTGGATTAATAATTATATTAAGATTACACACAAAAATAGAGCAATTCTATATACAATATATTACATTATATCATCGCATTAACAAAAATTCATAAAATTTTGGATGAGTGTAGATATCATAAATTGAGAAGTGTTATTGATTTTCATAATGATTTTTCTTTTAATATCTTTAAAAATCATATTCCTCCTAAGGACAATATTTATGTTCGTGATATTCAAATTTTAAATAAACGAACCGGGGTTCAGGGTTTTATACTATTTTGAATCTAATCAGGATTAAGATAAATGGGTCAAATGATCCGGGGCCCAAAATTATATATATCGGCCTTAGATGAATTTGGGCATGGGAACACCTAAATTTAGGAAGATGAGGAATTTAAAGCCCCTTCATAAGAGAGAGTACTGTGAAGTGTGAACGTGACAGTGTTAAGGGCCAATCCAACTGAAAATGATGAAGCTGATGAAGTCAACCGGAAAGGACGCTTTCATTCTTCGTCGTCACCACCATATGGCTTGTTCTGCTCAATGAAGAAAGAGGTCCATCCGACTTTTTCCCGCGGTAGTTTTAAATTGTTGGCGAAGTAAATGGGAATGCAAAAAGGGCCTTGCAGGATAACAATCTATAGTATTATACCAAGAGAGAAAACAGAGAGAGAAAACAAAAAAAAATTTTAAAGGTGCTATATAGGATAAAATCCTACGTGTCATTAGTCTAATGGTTGAGTCAAAAAATATTTACAACAATTACACTAATAGTCCTTCAAATTTTATGTAAATAAAGTTTTATCAAATGGTATTTAAAACTATAGTTTAAAATAGGAAAATAAAAATTAATTAAATTTAATGACCGAGATTAATGAACATTAATGCACCAGAATTATTCCCTCCCCAAAAGAATCCTCAAATTTACTACTGGACTCATTTAATTAATTTCTTTAAAAAAAATTTCTCTCCCAATCATGTAAATCAATAGACTACAATTCAAAAAAAAAAATAAATAAATCATTCAACATTAATGTTATCTTTAAAATTTTCTCCCAAAAAACATGACCCTGTATTTTTCACCAATAAAAAAGAAAAAAGGTACAAAACTTGCCTTCAATTATTACTAAAAGGATGGGATTTAACTATAATTAAATGTTATCTTTTGAATTTCAAACCAATGCATTTATTTGTGTAATATCATATTTACCCAAATAAATATAATCTTTTCTTAATAATATCTCAAAAGTTGTTATAAACTTTATCTTTATCACTAAAATTTTGGATAATCAATTATCATCATCCCAATTTATCTCTATTTATTTTCACTTTTAGATAGTAAAATTTTGGATAGTAAAATATACTCCAAAACACCTACATTACTAATGAATTATAAATAAAAATAATAAAATTCATTTTACACTTTTTATATATTTTTTAGATTTTTTATAATGTATATAAATCAATCCCGCGCATCGCGCGGGTTTAACATCTAATTACAATATATAGTAAGATGACCTCATTAGATTAAAATGTTATGAAGTATAAGAGCCAGGTCCCGAAAGTAACGAAAAGAGAAGTTTTTTCCCACAAAAAAAAAATAAAAAATAAAATAAAAATTCACGATGAACTTGTGAACAAAAAGTAGTAGTAGAAAATTCAGACCATCTTATTTACAAATACTACTATCAATTTATCATCGGCCAAATCCTTCAAAAAAAAAAAAAAATCATCGGCCAATATTAATTTTCCTCCAACCAAACAAACGAAAATGAAAAACGAGAAAGACAAAAAAAGTCAAACAAACTCGTGTTACAAATTAATTCTAAAAAGAAAAAAATAAATAAATAAAGAGCTGGGTGGTTAAGGAGTGGAGGGGATGCTGAGGTGTCTCCCGCAATCCATGGCGTCCGTACTTCATCTGAGTTACTCTTTACCTCTTCAACCGCCTTCTCCTTCTTCTTCCTCACCGCCTCGGAATAAAATCATAGACTGTTTATCTTCTTCTTCATCAGATAATCCAACTCTTCTTAGCAGCACCAACTCCAATGGTATTATTAGTAGCCACAGAAGTTTGAAGCCCATTGTAGTTGATGGAGAACCACCCACCTTTGTCTCTGCCCCTGGCCGCCGGATTGTTGCTGGTTCGTTCTTTTGTTCTTCTGTTATTACAGTTTCTTTTAATTCATGTCATTTTCTCCAAGTGTCTTGCTTTGCTTCTTTATATGCATTTCCGCTTGTGGGTTATTGGTGGCATAGTTACTTTTACCGATAGCTGTTACTGTAACTGAGCAGAGCTGTGTTCATAGAGCTGAATTTTAGCGATGAGGGTTGAATTTGAACTGTTCTTTACTGTAATTTAAAGTTTTAATTGAAGCCCGGATGGTAATTATAAGATGATTCTAGTCTGTTGTAATCTTTTGGGGCAGCAGAAGTTCTAATTGATGATGAATATTGCTGGATGGATTTTTATTTATTTTTATTTTTGGTTACCTTATGTTGTCATTCTTTCAGTTGGAGACCTGCATGGGGATCTTGATAAAACAAGGTATGCACTTGAGATTGCTGGTGTGCTCAGCTCTGATGGTGAAGACTTGTGGATTGGGGGAGAAACGGTATGTCTTTCCGCTCATAAACTTGTTCTTAACGTATTATATTTGTTGTAGCAAACAGAAGGAGATTGCTGGAAGTGTACATTATCTGGCTGTTGAAATCTTCTATATATTCTGACAGGTGTTGGTTCAGCTTGGAGATATTCTTGACCGGGGAGAAGATGAAATTGCTATATTATCCCTGTTGAAGTCATTAGATATCCAGGCAAAAGCAACCGGTGGAGCAGTTTTTCAGGTTCCTGTTTCTGTTAACGGACATGCCTTCATTTGTTTGTAGTGGATGGTTATATATTGTTTCATCAGGCATGAAATGTCCGCACTTGTGTATGTCCATACTTGTGTATTTTCCCAATGTGGATTTTACCAGTTTGCTAGTTTAGAGCCTTGTTGGTTTGAAAGTCCTGTACTTGGTCATAATTAGCAATGGAAGGTCATACAAAATTTATGGGCGTTTTTACTTGTACATTGATGACTTTTTTCTGGCGTAGGTCAATGGTAATCATGAAACCATGAATGTCGAAGGTGATTTCAGATATGTTGATTCGGGGGCCTTTGATGAGTGTATTGACTTTCTAGATTACTGGGAGGAATGTGAACGTGACTGGGAGGAAGCCTTTGTTAGTTGGATATATGCATCAAAAAGGCGGAAAAAAGATAGGAAAGTGTCTCCAAGTTACTGGGATCCGTGGGATTTGGTAAAGGTATGTCCTATTTTATTCCAAAGAGAAATTTGCCCAAAGGTGGGAAGTCACTATAGAGATCTTTCTGCTTTGCTTCCGCTAAGCTAAGGAGAAAAAGAACTAACATATCAATTGGGGTGCTCTGTTCTAATCTTCCCACCTGTGTGTAACCATAGCCTTATTTCTGGTGCCTTTTTTATCTGACAGCTTTAAGGAAGACGAAACAGCATGAGTTATTTACGTTACATTTTCAGTTTGTTTTTTAATGAATCCTACCTGTCAAACTCCTCCTGTGCTGGTTATATGTGAAGCTTTTTGTGTCGTTTTGTACTTCTGTGTTTCCCTTATGATATAAGTCATTTCAATATTAGGACAGCGCCAAAAGGGAGTGATTGCAAGATCAGTCCTGCTAAGACCTGGGGGCTTCTTGGCATCTGAGTTGGCGAGGAATGCTGTTGTTTTGAAGATTGATGATTGGGTCTTTTGTCACGGTGGCCTTCTTCCTCATCATGGTAATAGTTTGATGCCAAAAGATAGAATTTCATCATTCTTCCACTGTTTAGGAAAGATAATGAAATTGGTCATTGCAGTTTCTTATGGCGTCCAAAGGTTGAATAGAGAAGTCTCTCATTGGATGAGAGGCCATCCCGACCAGGATAATCAACCAGATATTCCATTTATAGCCACAAGAGGCTATGACAGTGTCGTATGGAACCGCCTATACTCTAGAGATGTCTCTGATCTAGATAAATATCAAATTGATCAGGTTAGTGTCCTTTGCATTTAGCAATATCTGAAATTTCTACAAGTTGGCAGTTGAGTGTTTTTCAAATGCTCTTGAAACCATTGCTGCTTGTTTTTTCTCTGAAAGATATCAATACTTGTTACTACATCTATCTCTCATCGATTTCTTAAGACCTGATACCTTTTTTAAAAAAAAAAAAAAACTGGTTCGGGGTGAGTTTTGAGTGGTAATGTCGAAGATTTTGCCCACTCTACTTTAACACTGGCTACTTTAGGAATTTGAAGGCTTCGAAACCTAAACTTTAACAATTTTGGCTTGCCAGATTGAGTCGATACTTGAAGACACACTCCAAGCAGTAGGTGGTACGGCAATGGTGGTTGGACATACTCCGCAACCTACGGGAGTAAACTGGTAAGAACTACCAGTCTACCAGCATTGGAATTTCGTGTTAGTTCAGTATCAGAAATTTCAAGGCTTGGTCACATTGCAGATGTCAAACCATTGAGTTTCATACATTTTGATTGAGTATTTATCTTTTTTGTGTAATATGTTTGCACTTACCTTTGAACTTTCATAACGGCAGTGAGTTCAACTGTAGCATATGGCGGATTGATGTTGGGATGTCCAGTGGAGTACTTGACTCCACACCGGAGGTAATCTGTTCCATATCTCGGTTGTTAAGTGCCAGTTTAATTATATAGAGCTTACCCCTCTGCATCTCGGTGAAGCAAGTTGAATGTTCTTATTTAAGAGGATATGTTTGGTGATCTTTTGGTTGCTACAAGTAGTGGGAACTGAGAAGCAATGCTGACTAGTTGTTCCTCTTGGCCACTAGACTTGTCTAGAGGGTCCAATTTAATTAGTGACAATGAAACTGTTGGCATATGTTTCAAATGGCTTTAGGACTTTCAGCATGATCCTCGTTTTACTGCTTAGTTAACCATTTTTGTAGATAGCCAAATGGTCTTAGTAACTTCAATCATTTTGAAACCTAATTAAAGTTCTTTGATTTTACACTTGCTATTCAGGTTCTAGAAATAAAAAATAACGAAGCAAGAGTGATAAGGGGCAAATGGGATAGAGTCGGCGATCTTGAGGTTGTTGATTATCTATAGAGAGGTTATGGAAGCCCTGAGCTGTAACCGTTGCCTACTCCACTGGTATAGTTCCTCCCTTTTTTTCCTTTTTTTTTTTCCCGTTTTCTGCTATTGGTTTGTTTGAGAAATGACTAGTATCCAGACTTTAACTGTGTGTAGTGTTTGACTTGTCCATTTTATTTGTTCCCAGGGTTCATTTGCACCTATTGTTGTCGATAATAACTTCACCAACAGCTCACATTGTGCTTCGAAACTGGACTTAGTTTGGAAGATTTTCCCCTTCGTAACGGCATCCATTGAACAAAAAAGAGTAGCTGTATTTGAATCAATTAATGACAAAGGAGAGCCAAATAAGGAGGATCTGAGTAGCTGACTAGCTGAGCATTGTGCAAAGTGAAGTAGCTCTGGACCAATTTTCCTTTCCACACTTGCAATAAGGAAGAGATACATATACGTTGTGAATAATTACCATATGTTCAGTTTGTTTGCAAAGTAGAATCATTAAAGTTAAGAATGTTGTATGAATTTGAGAATCTGTAATAAAGTAACATGTGTGGAGTAATCAAATTGTTTGCGGTACTGCATTAACAGGATCAGGTTTGTAATTCCTGAAGAACTCCAAAGCTCTGATATTGAATGGCTTTGTTCTAGTGTTAGACTTGCAAGTAATTCAAGTAAACCGCTACAATCAGCGATTAGAAACTATGATGAATCAGAATTACTGCATTTACATCCATCGGGGCATTCGAGAAATGGAGGAAGCAAAAAAGACAGATATGTGGAACAATTGGCATTCCAGAGAAATGGAGGAAAAAGAAACAAAGATAAAAAACAAATGAAGAGAAGTTGCACCAGCCGGGAATCGAACCCGGGTCTGTACCGTGGCAGGGTACTATTCTACCACTAGACCACTGGTGCTGTGTGATAAATGAATTTAACTTAACATTTAATTTCATGTCTGTTGAGCATGGACAGTACCAACAAAACTCGAAAATTTTTACTCCAGTTCTTTTTAAGTGACGTACAACATAGTTCCTTGACACAATAAAACGTCACTTCTTTTGAAAATAAAAGATAAATTTCATTAGTGTATTAGAAATCGTCGAATGAAAATACAACTTCATGTACATTTATTTTCTCTTGATCACTTAATTAATTTCTCACAGCTGAGATGAGTTAAAAAATCTTATTATAAAAGAAAGGGCTAGTTAAATGGATAAGCAACTAACAGAATTTGGGCCTTGCCAGTTATAAGAATAGTTATTATTATTTTTGTTTTGTTTACAGTATTTAGTCAAGTTATCATTAATAAGCTTATACCAATATCGTTTTATTATAGGCTTTAACTTAAATTCAGCAAAAGTATGTACTTGTTCCATCATTTTTTTTTAATATATATTCAAGCGTTTTGAAATAATTGCATAGTTTGAAATTTTTTTTCTTAATGTAAATTATATTTTCAAAAAGTAAAAAAAAAAAAAAAAAACTAAACTATACAATCATTTTGGACAGATGGAGCATCTAAGGCGACAAATAAAATTACTTCCAAATCACAAATTTTGCGACAATGAATATGAACTAGTTTGTTTGTTGAACTAATCTTTCTCATTTAGAGCACACCCCAAGTGAAATCCTTCATAACACAACATGTTAGGTATGAATATTGTAGAATTTGTATTAATTTTGTAGCTGCTAATTGATATAAACATTTTAAATGTTACCCCATGATAAGTTTGTTTCAATCGGGTCTAGGTTATTTATTTTTATTTGTTTGGACAAAATTTGGTCTAGCTAGCTAGAACCATTTTCCTCATTCATTTTAGTCCCAAAACAATTCTTAGTTTATGAAATACTAATATTTTCTAAATTGAATTATACATGTTTTATTACTCTTTTCGTTCTAAAATAAATGTCAAAAATACATAAAATTATTGTTCTAGCCTCATATAAAAACAACATTCTGAATTAAGATATTTTGAAATTTAAATCGTGCTTTATAAAATAGTACTACTAGAATCTTTATAAATCCCATGCTGGAGAAATCGAGCCAACCTCAACAAATCGTCGATAAAATTGATGGTAATCTCTCAACATCAATAAATCCCTGAACTCATGAGTTTCTTCGTAAACTCCCCTAACAAAAACGTCCTTCCTCCACTTCTAACACCACCATGCTCTCAATAGTTGCTTCAATAGCAAGAGATAATTCAAGAAGTAACGTGGAGCTAGAGTCGCATTTAATTGTTGAAAAACTAGTACAGTAGTCGGGAAATGTATTTCATAGAGAAGTTTGGAATATATCCTAATTTCTGTGTTAAAAGGCAAAGGTAGTCATGACAATGTTTGAATCTTGTTTTTGATTTGATAATTAACTAGATGTTTGGCCCAGGCAGATGCCCGGGCGCCCCTTTTAAATTACTATTTTATTAAAATCTAATTGAATTACTATTTTTTGAGGAATTAATTTGGCGTATATATCATTTATGCTATGATTTGGGGCTTAAAAAAATATACCTATAAATCTGAGGTTATAAGGGAATAATAAATAATTAGTTTATAAGGCATTATTCTTAATTGCCGGATTTAAGTATTTTTATTTTTTGTTTATATTAAGCCTGCAAAACTATACGATTGGACATTTGAATTTGAATTAATATATCCATCCGTTTGAAATGTAATTGATCCTTATTTGTAGTAAAACATGTGTTTTTTTTTAAAAAAAGAAAATTATATAACTTCTAATTAAAAGAGACTTACATGTGGCAAAAAGACTCATGAAATCTCTAATATGGTGCATTGGAGCCAAAACATATGCATACTTAGTTGCCACATAAGCTTCATGTCTTCTGCTTTAACAGGATAAAAGGGATGTATAATATATTTAAATTTTACCCAAAAAAAAAAAGTTTCGATTGAGGATTTCCCCAGGCAAGCAGCAAAATATATCTCAAAAATAAAATTCAAAATTTTTTAAAGAATACAATCATTAACTTATTTATAGAAATTAAATAAAGAAAAATATTCGAAGAACTAAAACACAGCCTTAAATATTCCTAAAAGAGAACTCGTAAACACTTACTCCTCCGCCAATACAAATGGTCTAAAATTCAGAAAAAACAACTCTCATAAGGACTCTTTAATTAGTCAACTTAATAGTTTGGTCATTACTATTTTCCTCTATGTATTCCTTCCGTCAAAAAAACTCTATTATACTTTGTGATTCGTATTAAGAGATTACAAGTCTCAAAACATTTTTTTTAATTATAACAGTTAGACTAATAATATTAATTTCGGAAAAAAATAATATCAGAAAATGGGCTCTTTTAATTAATCTTAATGGTTATCATAATTTACTGCACGTCGTTTAATTGTGAATTACTTGTTTGTTGAGTTAATTCTTTCTTTCAATAATAAAATTATTACTCCCTCCGTCCCAAAATTATTGTCCCAAAATTATTACTCCCCCCCCCCCACTCATAATGTTTCAGGTTCTTCGTGAAACTATTATTACACATGACTGCTGTAATTTTGTATTGACGTAGCAGCAGCCAATTGCTACTCCGAGTAAGATTTTAGAGTTGGTTATTTTATTTTCATCCCATAGAGAAAGTGCTTACGTTAACAAAATGCAAATATTTTGCTACTGAAATCACTTTGTGCAAGTTCTCGTTTGATTTAGTGCAATGTGAAAGGGAAAAAAGGCAACAGAAAACGCATAATGCGAAAGGCTGTTGATATGGGTGACATGACATGAAATGGAGCTGCCGTTCACGATTTATCAAAAATTTAAATGCATGAAATCTAAGTCGAACAAATAAGTTTGGTTGACAAATAAAGAAATTTAAACGTAAGCCACAAAATTCAAAAGGAACTTAACAAAGGAGAAAAACAAATGAAAGGGGGGCTCCGATGGCGCAATAGTCTTTCATAGCACCCAAAATGCACCAGCCGGGAATCGAACCCGGGTCTGTACCGTGGCAGGGTACTATTCTACCACTAGACCACTGGTGCTTGTTGTTTAAGATAGCCTTGCATTTTGGATTCTCAAAAGATAAATAGCCTTGCATTTAAGATTATCTTTTGGTTTGACAGCAAAAGATAAATTTCATTAATTAATTAGAAATCGTCAAATCAAATTATTACTTGCAACATTTCATTAGTTATTAATAATTATAAATCATCAAACCAAAATATAACGTCCTATATCACTTTCCACATTAATTTCTTGTAGTTGAGATGACTTAGAAAATCATATAATAAGAGAAAGTGCAAGTTAATAGTAGTTAGGCTTGTTGCCAATTACGAGAATAGTTATCATTATTATTATTATTTTTTGTAACCCTTCCTTTTACATCGCCAAAGCTAATATTATCGTATTTATCATGGCTTTAACTCAAATTCAGCAAAAATATTGTATGTGTTTTTTCCATTGTTATTTTTTTAGTAATCCCTCGGTCATTAATATAAAGCATTTTGATATGTACTGTTTCACTTAATATGCATTTTTAATTAAAAAAATTTAAAAATATATTTTCGTATTTATTGTGTCATTCTTATCATTTGAAAATATTCTGAAGGTCTTTTAAACGTGGTATAAGTTTGTTTCAATTTGGTATAGGTTTTTTTTTGTTTTTGGACTAAATTTGGTTAGGTTGATTTTCTTCATTCATTTTAGTCCCAAAAGAATCCTTAGTTTATGAAATGCAAAATTTCTATAGATTGAATTAAGTTTGATTCCTATCTTCGTTTTAAAATGAATGTGAAAAACATATACTCCATCTGTCCCAAAATTATTCTCCAGTTCGAGATTTCACTTTTGATACAATTTGAACTATAAATAAAAATTTGAACTGAACAATAATTATGGGACGGAGGGAGTATAATTATTGCTCACGCCTCATAGAAAAACAACATTCTGAATTAAAGTATTTTGAAATTTAAAATTGGGCTTTATAAATAGTTATTACTAGAATCTTAATAAATCCCATGCTGGAGAAATCAAGCCAACCTCAACAAATCGTCGATAAAATTGATGATAATCTCTCAACATTAATAAATCCCTAAACTCATGAGTTTCTTCGTAAACTCCGCTAACATAAAAAACGACCAGACAAACAACACTATACGATCTTCTAATTAAATGCATGCCTTCCTCCACTTCCAACACCACCGTCCTCTCGTTCTTCGACTGAGATTCAGTCCCGCGATTTATTCCCCTGTTTCATTTCCATCCAATTTCGGCAATTCCAATTCGATTTCCACAATGAGCTCATTGTCCTCTTCACTCGTGCTTCCTTCTTCGGTTTCTCTCAGCAAGCAGCACCAGATACTCCCTTTTGGGTCTCCGGAATTTCTCAAGAATTCTTCCGGTTTTCTGGGATTCAAGAATGGGGCCCGAGGTTTTAGCCTCAAGGGTTTGGACAAATCGAGGGTTTCCATGAGCGTTGCTGCTGTGGGATCTCAAACTATTGCCAGTGATGCCTTGTTTCAAGACTATAAACCCAGCTGTGCTTTCCTATTCCCCGGTCAGGTCAAATTCAAAAATCTTTCTACTTTGCGTTTTTCTAAGCTGATGCTACTTTGATGTTATCTCTGCTTTCTTAGTGTTCCTTTTGAAATTTGCTTAGCTTGAAATTGTGGTGCTTGATTTGCTGTTAATCCTAGTTGTCATCTGAATAATTTGATCAGTTGGGTTCAAGAATGGTTTTGAATCGTGAATTTGTTTTGCTTAATGTTTTTTGTAGGGAGACGTAGGTAGCTGTAATCTATCCGTACTCTTTGTTTCATTTTCCTTTTGTGATTATCGTTTTCATTTGGTGAATGGTTGCCTACTTGCCTTGACTTAATGCTGATATTTTGTGTTTGCTACCCTGAAGCTTAGTCAAAGTTTTCGAATTGAGCATTGACAGTCTTAATAACAAGCTGAAATGAGCTGCAACCCTTTCATGGACTGAGTGTTGACTGTTGCGTATGTTGTTTTCTCAATGTATTGATGCATTATGTGTGTAAGGACATGTTTTGATTTTTGGTGACTTTCTGACTGACCATCTGTAACTCGCCTATTGCATTGTAGGGTGCACAAGCTGTTGGTATGGGTGCTGAGGCTCAGAAGGTGCCTGCAGCTGCAGAACTATACAAGAAAGCTAATGAAATATTGGGGTACTAAAACCAATTCATCCTGTATTATCTGTTTTCATTAATCACGGAAGTAATGGTGGCTTATCATTTGGTATTTGCTTAACTGCGGATATTGTTCTTGTTTTCTTGAAGGTTTGACCTTCTGGATGTTTGTCTCAATGGTCCAAAAGAAAAGTTAGATTCCACGGTTCTCAGCCAGGTATTCTCCTTTCCTATTTAACAGTTCTTATGTATCTGAGCACGGAAATGGCCCCATTTGGCATCTAAATGATCAACTGTAACCTTAAAGTTGAGTGTTGTTTGTAATGCCAAAGGCAATTTTGTAAAGAATACCGACTTTGCAGTCATAATGCAATTTTGGATGTATACTGAAACGTTTCATAAAAAACTCAAGTTGTGGAAGTTAACAATGACATTATTGTTTTCTGAAATTATATTCACTTTTCATTTGCACCTTTAGTAACAAACTTTCTTCTGACAGCCAGCTATATATGTCACAAGCTTAGCTGCAGTGGAGGTTCTCCGAGCTCGTGATGGAGGTCAGCAAATTATTGATTCTGTGGATGTTACCTGTGGTCTAAGTTTGGGAGAGTACACTGCCCTGGCATTTGCCGGAGCTTTCAGGTAACTAACTACCTAAACTGGATGTTGAAATATGGAAAATCACCATTGATCCAGCTATCTTGAGTATAAATTTACCATTTACACAGACAGCATTATTCTAATTGATTGGCTTTGGCTCTCTGGCAGTTAACAGTTTATCAAAATAATACTAGTAACATCAGCAATGTCTTTCATAATTGGCTGCATGTGCTTTGGTATAATGGATGGAATTCAATTCCTGAAGCGTAAAATATAAGAACTATTGAATAAATTTGGCTTCAGATAGTAAACCGCTTCTTCAAGCATGATGCACAGTGCATAGATTGCCTTGCGTGGAAAAGTTTGTAATCTTTATTTATTTGAATTGGTTGTGGTTTTCAGCTTCGAAGATGGGCTTAAACTTGTCAAGCTTAGGGGTGAAGCAATGCAGGTGAATCGATTTTAAGCCTTTTTTTTTTTTTCTAAAGTTGGTCAGTTATTGAAGTTACTAAACCTCGATGATTGTTTTGTAGGATGCTGCAGATGCTGCTCAAAGTGCCATGGTCAGTATCATAGGACTGGATTCAGACAAGGTGCAACTTCTATGTGATGCTGCCAATGAAGAAGTTGATGAAGCAAACAAAGTGCAAATTGCGAATTTCTTATGTCCTGTGAGCTTTTTAACCTTGTGCTTTTGTAGCTAAACTTCTTGTCATTCTTGTTCTGTCATTTTATGAGACAACTAGTCTTGTTCCACATTCATGATGAGGTGCCTGTGATGTGTGATTAGGGAAACTATGCAGTTTCTGGAGGTCTCAAAGGTATAGAAGCTGTTGAAGCCAAAGCAAAGTCTTTCAAAGCTCGAATGTCGGTATGTATGTTTTTAAACTTGAATTACAGCTTCCGCAGAGCTTCAGTAGTTAAAGGGCAATGTCACTCTCTCAGGTGAGGCTAGCTGTTGCTGGAGCTTTCCACACTAGTTTCATGGAACCGGCTGTGTCAAGATTGGAAGCTGCTTTAGCAGCAACAGAAATCAGAACGCCGAGGATACCTGTTATATCCAATGTAGATGCGCAGCCACATGCAGATACTGAGACAATTAAGCAAATATTGGCCCGTCAGGTAAGCTGCTATCAGTACTTCCTTAGATTACTTGTTTAGGGCATTTGTAAACTCAAAGCTACATGATTACTCATTTGAACTAGAAAATGGACGAAACATATCTTATTTGTTACTTTGAACCTGGGAATCTCAGGTTACTTCTCCTGTTCAATGGGAAACTACGGTGAAGACCCTCCTCTCCAAAGGATTGAAAAAGAGTTATGAATTAGGACCCGGAAAGGTATTGATTTCTCGTCTGCATAACTAGAAGCACATTCGAAGTACAATGACGGCTCTCATGCCAAAAGATAGATTAGCACTTTAAAGCAGGATTTCTAATTTTTCTTGTTGAATCCATCAGGTCATAGCTGGCATTGTAAAGAGAATGGACAAAGGTGCTGAGCTTGAAAATATCGGTGCTTAATACAAAATCTGGGTGATCTGATCATTTAGCAGCAGACGCCAATCACATCCTCGTCATATACTTTTTGACATTAATAGCGATGTTCTAGAGATATCCTCCTGGACTGGGTTTCGGCTTCATTCTTGTAATCAAATTGAATGACTAATGAGTATTGGGCTATTGTAAACTTCAATTTTGTTTATCAAAGATTTCTCTGTAATTTGTGTTTGGTTCAAAACCTGTTTTTGTTGCATAGCAGTACTAGTTCTTCATGTTCCAAGCGATGTTTAGTCTCAGGCTAGTCCCTAAAGTTTGACCCCAATGTAGAATCTCTCCCACTATCTCAGAATTGGTTAATACAGTTCCAAAGGATGGAACTCGCATATAGTAAATAATAAGATGACTTAAATAATCAGAGTTGAGAACATAAGAACAAAATGAAATGTTTTCCTTGGCTAAAATGGCAAGGAATGTGTTTCAAACCACAAATAATGCATACAAAACTTTGGTAAATGACTGAAGTTGAAAGGCAAATGATATTTCATTCTTGAGCTGTGGATGGCCGTCTAATTCTTCGAAGCTGATCAATCCACTGATCTTCGGGAATCCGATCCACCCAATCCGGCGGCAATCCACCGAATGAAACCCCACGCATGGCTTCCATAACTCTGACGGCGTTCTCAGGTGGCAAGGGAGCGTTTCGACGGCTATCATCCTCTCGGAATGCTCTCCTTATTGACTCTTCTTCTCTCACCCTTTCCTCTTCCTCACCGGAATCTTCGTCTTCTTCTTCATCATCGGTCAGATCCAGGGAAACTCCGTTCTCGACCGGATGCAGCGAATAGCCGTTGGGTAGATCGTGGGGAAAAGGATGCAGCCGGTGGTCGTGTTCGTTGGCGTCGTCGTCGTCGGGGTTTGAATCGGGAAAATTAGATTCTTCATCGTCGTCGTCCGCAATAGCAGAGATTGGTTGGTAGAACTCAGGTGTGTCCTCGTCGGAATCGCTGCCGAAACCGCCCGCGTTTTCAGGGATGAACTCGTTAGCAGAGTTGCTCGCAGCATTCATCCTGAAGAAGCAGAAGTAAACTAGTAATCGAAACACGGATTGGGAAAACGCTATTAAAACGTAGAAGAGAACTCCACATTGCTGCTCTATTTATTTTGGCAACAATTGGGCATCAAAAAGAAAGAAAACTGGAGGGGCACAAAATAAAAAGTAAATGGAATTGCACCAGCCGGGAATCGAACCCGGGTCTGTACCGTGGCAGGGTACTATTCTACCACTAGACCACTGGTGCTTGATGTCAGACAATCAAGTAGTTAACAACATATATCTGATGTGTGGAAACGTGGCAGTTTTAGAAACATACGTTTCTAATTTCTTTCCTATCAGAATTGAGAAAGTAACTAACAAACAATCATGACAGATAAAATGGCAACCGTTTAAACTTCTTCCATTGGGAGTGACTCTCAGAGTAGAAGATACGCGGGGAAATGGCGACTGCTTCCATTTCCAGGGCTTCTGCTTCTCAGTGTCACAACTTATTCCCTCGTTTTTATGCTCTAAGAAGAGCTAAATTCCGTGATTCAGTTTGTCCCTCAAGCCGTGTCGGGAGGAGGAATGGAATTCTGGTTTGTTGTGCTCCCCAAACTCCAACATCATCGCCACCATCCACTGCCATCAGCCCTCCTGCTCTTTCTGGGTAACTCCCAGAATGCCCCCCAAGTTTTCTCAATCTTTCAATTTCCGGACTGATTTCCTTCTTTCATGATTGCATTGATTTTTGCTTTTGATTCTGTCATGTTTTGTTTCAGACAAGAGCTGACCTTGTGTTTTGGATCATACTCTATTCCACACCCCAAGAAGGTGAGTACTGCCTGGTTTTTTTAACTAGAAGCTTTTGAATTAGACTCGAAAAAACAAAAAGTAGTACTACTAATAACATTTAAACACCGATTTCTGAAAGGTTGAAAAGGGTGGGGAAGATGCCTTCTTTTTCAGCGGTTATAATGGTGGCGTTATTGCTGTTGCTGATGGTGTCTCCGGGTAATCATATTCTCATTGATAACTCTCTAGCCACGATTGTGTTTTTGCCTAAAATTTTATATTTTGACATCATGTTTTTATCATCTCCATAAGAAAAGCCCTGCTCCAATCCTGTTCTGTGCGAAGCTGCAGCTGCATTCTTTTGTTGATTTTGTGTTTTAAGACCTAATAAGCAAAATTTGTGATTATCTATGGTCACGCGTAATTTGTTGTTTGTTTGTCGTTGGCAGTTGGGCTGAACAAAATGTGAATCCTGCATTATTCTCTAGAGAAATGATGTCTAGGGTTTCCTCCTTACTTAAGGATGAGGAGGTATGATGATCAGCTACCTTCTGTAAGTAGCCTGTAAAATGGATATCCTTTCCCTTGACTCTTACGAGTTTTCCGTGACAATAGTGGAGGGATTCTGCCAATGTCTTGATGCCACAGCATAGTAGTTAAAACCTGACTGAACCTGACATTACCTTTCGAGCTCGTCCCATCATTTGTTAAGTCATCAGATCTTTAAACTAGAATGCCTAATCAATTTGATGAATAGACCTCAAACGACTTGAAACCAGATCTGTGTCAGTGGTTGAGAGGAAAGGAAGTTCTATTCTGGGTTAGTTACTTGAACATCTGTACTTACAGGTCAGCTATGATCCGCGGTCTCTTATGAAGGATGCACATGCTGCCACATCTTCAGTTGGTTCCGCTACTGTGTAAGCTTTTTGTAATGTCTCCAAAATCGCATATGACATTTCCGGTTTTTCTTTTTCCTTGGCTGAAATGGAACTATTTCTTTTGATATGGAAGTCGAATGCCCTTCTTGTTTTAGAATCATTGCAATGTTGGAGAAAAATGGGATCCTGAAGATAGCTAATGTCGGCGACTGTGGTTTACGGGTCATTAGAAGAGGTACTAATTGAATTTCATTATGGGTTACTTCTAATATCTGGTGCAAAAAGTTTCTGTTGTTAGTCTTCCCGTTTTCACTCTAATTTTGGTATCACTGGGATAGGTCAAATAGCCTTTTCCACGTCTCCTCAGGAACATTATTTTGACTGTCCATACCAACTGAGTTCAGAGGCCGTTACTCAGACATATCTTGACGCCATGGTATGATCTATGCATCCAGAAACTTCTACAGTTCGACAAGAGACTATCTGTGCTTGAATACTTTGTTCCAAATTCCCCTTAGCAGGCCAAGTCTTATAATTTGCTTTCCATTTAGCCACAATTGAAAATGAAGCCTGTAATACGGCAAGCTTAGCCCTGTCTTTGCCCTGGTGTTCCCCAAGGATTTATGTAGTCTCCAACCTTTGCCTTTTGTTTTGCCCATATATATGTTATAGCTAGAAAAGAAAAGTGTTTGATTATTAGGCTGCTTACTGCATCATTATTTCATGAACCTTTACATAACTTTAAAGTTTGTAGTTTTCAATTGTATGAACAACCTTCCATGCTCTCTCTCTTGTTAATCTAAATGCTCTTTTGGGACAAATGCAGGTCTGCAGTGTGGAATTAGTCAAGGGAGACATACTAGTAATTGGTTCAGATGGGCTTTTTGATAACGTGTTTGACACTGAGATTGTTTCGACAGTGGGTACGAGTAATGATGTTGGTAATACTGGTAAGCTTTTCCTGCCTAATGGTTTCAGTCTTTCAATTTTATCTCATGTGTTTTGGCGTTTTGGCTGATTTTGGTTAGAATGCTAGCAAAGGCGTTGGCTGAACTGGCACGCAGTCATTCAGTGGATTTGAGATATGATTCACCCTATTCCATTGAGGCCAGAGCTAGGGTGATTACTTTTGCACTGACCTACTTGATTTCGACTGTATTTACTAATAGTATCGATATTAGTGATGTAAGAGTGTCTTCTTGACAAGCAGGGATTTGATGTACCTTGGTATAAGAAGATTTTTGGCATGAAGTTGACAGGTATTACTTAACAGATTTTCGCATGCTCTTTCATTCCTCTCTACAATGAAATTTGCATTGCTGATAATTTGTTGCATTTACAGGGGGAAAGATGGATGACATTACTGTCGTTGTTGGACGTGTCGAGAGCTTGTGACTGTATTTAGGTAATGCCTAGCTGCAGTCCAGTTATGCTACCAGATTGACTACTCGTCAAGGCTGGAGGATTTGCAGAAAGTATCAGTTGGCAATTATCCTCTGATTACTGCTGCGGAATAATCTCCCTGGAAGAATCAGTAGAATGGTCAAATCCTTTAAGCATACTTGCCAGTAGTTGGCAATTGGAATGTAAACATTATGCTTTTAGTGTCTTATTGTAACAAATTGCTTCTATGGACTTAAAATGTGGAGACTCTGGATCAGTTAGGCTTGAGCTTCAGTTTTAAGTGGCTGCCATTGTTATTCATAACAGACTGGTGTACACTTTCACTCTAATCCGTCCGAACGGCTACAAAAGAAAGACCAGTGCATCCAAATAAATCCAATAAACTTATGATTCAAATAGTGATAAATCCACAAATTTGACTTTCTCATTGATGATAAGAATGGAAGTGAAAAGAAAACGCTATCAATAGACAAGAATGGAAGTGAAGAGAAAACTCTATCAACAATAGGAGCACGATAGTTTCCTGGAGGTTTATGAGCAAGAAGAAAAAGTGAAGCTCAGACATCCATGCCTACCTGAGCAGGCTGCTGTTAATTGACTGTTAAGATGAAGAAGAAGGTCGCCGTATGGCGGAGATAAAACCGGGGCAACAAATCGAAACAGCAATTGATTGTTTCCCTTTGGAGCAGGTGCATTCTCAGCAACATGAGAAAGAAAATCTGAAATTATGCAGTCTAACTGACCTTACATCTTAAACCCACAAATTCTACCAGTTAAAAGAAAGAAAATTATGCTCTCAGAGCAAAAATGTGAGGGTAACTCCCTCCTAACTATATCATCTTATTACAGCTAAAAGCAATTTACAAATGGAGGTATATCACAACAATGCTGACTGACTAGCCCAAACCAGTCAGATATCTCTTACACACACTCAATTGAGTAAACCACCGCCTTGTTTAATCTGTTCGCTCATCTATTGTCATTTGAATGTCTCTGCCGTCAAATATGAAGTCATTGATAGCTATAAATAAAATGCAGTTGGCATGCTCTTCGCAATCTATCAACCAACACTCTCGTTGCTCTTTCCATCATTAACCTCCTGGAAGAAGGATTTGCCAGCTTCATATGTAGACCAGCAAATAGCAGCTGCAGGAGCATGGAAGAGCATCCTTGGCATCCATCCCCTCATTAGACCCCTATATCCATCCTTCTTTACTATTGTCTGTAAAACATCTCGAATCGAGCCAGATGCAAATCTATCACATCCACAGACGCCCTGCAACAACCCAATAACATTAAAGCCTGACAGGTATAACAAGACGACAACAAATTCTAAATACTAGATCTGCAGACCTGTGTTTCTGCACGGCACAACAGAGGCAAAAGACAACACGGAATAGTGAAACAAACCAACCACAGAAAAGGGGCCAACCACACATTATTTAAAACTCGAGAATTGACACGTAAACAGAGCATGCAGAAAAAGCTATATTTTGGATATCAAAGTTTCTCTCTTTAGCTCATTGCATTGATTTCCTCCCATAACCGACATAACAACACTTCATTGATGGTATAGATTAAGCATAAATGGGAGAATATACAAGCTCAATCTGGTTTCTAACAGTTACTGAATGGAAATTCCTGTACTGTACAGATGATCTACAACAAAGAAACTCTTTCGCTAATTCCGACCAGACTCAATATTTCGTCGACGAATGCTCGACTTCCAGGGTGTACAAATATCACAATAAGCAACAACAAAACTTTTTAAAAATAGGTCATTACAAGGGCAGCTCTCTATCCTTATCGACGGTTAAGAACATTAACAAAAATGGAAGTCTTTCATTCTCTTCAACCCAATTCAAATAGCCAACTACCAATAACACAAACAGCATATCAGAGATAGACACGTGAAACAGATTCAGCTCATCATTTATTAAACCTCACCTCTATCGTCACTACAAATATCATGAGAAAAGACAGCATGTACTGAAATTAGGTCAATCAAAGTGCAGATCACTATCTTATCAACGACCAAGAACATCTACCCTCTGTCTATTCAACCTGAACACACACCAGTGGCGTATGATCAATAGAGGTAACAGAATTACACAACTGCATGATGCTAACGTATGATCACCTAGCAACTTCACAAAATCCAAAGTACAACGAAAACCTTTTGAGCTAAACACAGCATTAGGAAAACATTTACTGGTGGATGTACCTGACACTGTAGCTGAGTCTTCACCACATCAAGGGGCGTAGTGACTGCTGCAGCTAGTGCTCCAGCGGCAGCCCCAGCGGTGGCATGAACCACCCATCCTTCATCATTGACACTTTCCGGCGAGATCCCCATCAAACCTCTTTTGGACGCCTCATAGGTGGCAAAATGCACTGCCGTGTAAGGAGCATTCATCAGCACGGTAGTCCTATAAGAAGCATAAAAAGCCCCAAAACCCTCCTCCTTCAAAACCCTCTTCACACAATCCCACACGCCCGTGTAATGGGTACCACTCAATTGAAGCCTCTGTTTGACCATATCCATGGGTGTAAATACGGCGTCGCTCGCCACGGTGGCACAAACCCCGGACACCGCATGCGCCGCGGGATTATTAGCTTTGCCGCCGGAAAGAGCTTTCTTGCAGGTCTCATAAACACTAAAATAAACGGCGTGTGCCGGCCCCGCGCCTAAACCCATGGCGGCAATCCCACGGTAAAACCCAGCTGCCCCTTCAGATTTCAAGATAGACTGAACAGCCTGCCGAATGCCGGCTGATTTAAGCGGGCAAGAACCCAGCGCTTGCATTTGGGTTTTCACTGTATCTACAGGGAACATGGCCATATGTTCAACCATGCCGGCGACGGACCCGGCCACCATGAACTGCCAAAAATGAAGACCGTCATGAGGTGGCTTCTCCAGGGTTAATTCAGGGCGGTAATCTGCCGGCTGAGGCTGATGTTGGTGGAGCGGTAAAAGCTCCGGCTTTTGAAAATTCGGTGAGGCTTCAGACGTGGTGGTGGTGGTGGTGGTGGCGGCAGCCATCGGTATTTGAACAGTAGTATTTAAAAACCTAGGGTTCGTCCGGGTACGGGTAACGTATAGGGTCGGGTTTTGTTTCGTCTAATGAAATCCGCCAACGCCACAGAAAGACAGCAAAATCGTGGCGGGCGGTGAGGTGGGCCCCGGAGGAAGGCGGAGAAGCAGTACAAATGTAGAACGAAAGAAGCTGCCACCCGGCGGAGGACGAGTGGAGAAAGGTGGAAGAAGATATAGCTTAGCTGGGTTTCCCTTAATTTCTTTTTTAGCTCTCTGTCTTTCTAAAGAAGAAAATAGAAATTTTGGGATTTTGTTGCAATAATAAGCAGATGCCCAAAAGCTAGGGTTCCAAAATAATGGGAATCCGAATCTCAATTGCGTTTGTCTGCCCCCCTGTGACTTTTCCGGGAAGCAAAAAGGGTTCCAACAATTTTATCATCAAATTGAAGAATAATCGCAAAGATGTCGACATGTTTAATGTTCAAATTACTGTTTTACCCAGCTTTCCAGATTAGGACTTCTGTTTTATATTTCATTGACTTTAGAAAATATTTTCCGATTTATTTGTAGGTCAAGAATCATACATAAACAATTTTTTTTTTCTTTCTCTTTTATGCTTGGTCGGGAGGGGGTTAAACAACTTATGGCCAAATTTAAATTTTCACTTTTAGTTCAATTTTGTACTATATATTCCACAATTTCAATATTTGTTTGACCTACAAATAAATTGTTTAACTCTCTCCCGACAAAGCTTAAAAAAGAAAGAAAAAAAATTATTGTTTATGTATGATTATTGACTATTTAACGGTTATAGCATTGAAATTTGAAAAAAAAATTCTTCAATCTTTAAACGATTACTACTTAGAGCCCGAAATTATTATCCAGTTTGAGTTTCATTTTCAATATAAATTAAATTAAAAGAAAATCTAAATTGAACAATAGTTTTTGAATAGAAGGAATATGTGTTTGGGAGATTTCGTGTCTCAGTCCAAAATATACGATTCGAGAGTTCAAAACACTTGCGTAACTATTTGTTTCTATTCATTGAGGTCAAAATGATGCCACACTGCCACATTTGCAAATCCACGTAGTCAAGTAGTACTTATGCAACCCGTGGGAGTATATGATGACATGTTCTTGCTTTGATTATTTCCCCCTCACGTGGACTAGTCAAATGGTTCTTGGCTTCCAATTGGAAATTTGGAAAAGCCCGATCAAAAGCCCTTTCGATTTTGGACAACTTACATTTTTTTTTCGTTAACTAAAGCATCGTAGATTTGCCAGATAATAATGTTGCCAGCAGTCAGAATGGCAGAATATATATATATATATATATATATATATATATATGTAAAGTGTTCCAAAATGTATTGATTGATGCGAAAATTAGGTGCGGATGAAAACAAGGCCTCAAAGGGAGCCACTGTATGTAAGTGTTCCATTTCAATGTGAAACAATCGAACTGATCAGAAATGCAAGAAATCACTTATTAGCAACACTAGAGGTGAATCGTTCAGACAACACATTCAAATGATTCACCATCTTCAACGTTTGCTACACGAAATGTCGGTTAGGAAAGCCTCAACGGCGTTCCTAGAGGATCCACCTAGTTTTAAGGCTTGTTGGCAAATGGTCTGCAATTCTTTGGCCCTTTTTCTAATTTCGTTTCCTTCATCGCTTTCCAAGTCCATGAACTTCCGAACAAGCTCAGCAATTTCCGCTCTTGGTATCAAATTCTCCTCATATTTCTTAACCCTCCAACCGGTCTTCCAGTCATCAACAATTTGCTTCGCATTCGTGGTTTGATCCCAAAATATAGGGAAAACAAGCACCGGAATCCCAGAAAATATAGCTTCTTTGGTGGAATTCCATCCACAATGTGACCAGAATCCTCCAATGGAAGGATGAGACAACACCTTCAGCTGGTCACACCAAGGCACAACTATCCCATTACTCTCACCAGATTCACCACTTCTTCCAGAACTATTTACATCATCCCGTGTAACCCAGAGGAATTGGACGCCGGATTCGTGCACCCCGGCAACAATCTCATCCAACTGAGCTTTCGAGACGGAAAGAAAGCTCCCCTGTGATATGTAAAGCACTGATTTTTCCGGTTGAGCATCCAACCATTTAACATACTCTGGCGTACTTGAAGTTGAAGACTCTGTTTCTGATAAACCGATAGTGGGAATTGCAGGACCAATTGAGTAAATTGGAAAAGCAAACTCTTTTCCTAGAGCATCAATTACTCCAGCTTCTAGCTCATATGTAGATGTGAATAAAAGATATTGTGCTTTGGACACAAGGGATATTCCCTCCAAGCAGTCAAACAACACTTCTTGGCCTTTTCCGGTTAGTGCTGTCGGAAGATCCGCAACCCGCAATGCAGGGGCCCCTGGGATGTAATCAATCATCTCGTTCCCTTTCTCTGTTTTGATTTATTTTGGAAAGTAATAAGAAAAAGAGGAAGTAATAATTGAAGGGACATAATCCAAAAGCATTCTTTATCATCAAATCAAACCATGGCGTACCTTTTAAGTTGGAATTGAAATGACCCTTTTCGAGCACGAGGTTGAAATGATGGAAGATGGAGAAAAGGGTGGCGGATTGGGTCCAAAACGATGCCACCGGGATGTTCCGCCGGTTTCCGACACCCACCATCCATTTCAAATACGTATCGTAGATAATGACATTAGGCTTGGGAAGCAGCAGCTCATCAAGCCGGTCCAGCAATTGCTCAACCGGAGCCTCGAGATTCGTGAAAGCGGCTCGTATGAATCCAGGCCAGTCTTTGGCTCTGCCTATTTCTGATGGAATAACGTTTGGGATTGTGGCTAGCCGGATGTTTGGCGGCGGCTTGGGTTCGGAGCTGAGGAACCCGAGCCACTCTTCAGTCACGATGAAGGTTATGACGGTGGTTCTGGGTTGGGACTGGGCTATTATGAGCTTGCAGAAATTCATCATCGGATTCACGTGGCCTCTTCCCGGAAAAGGCATGACCACCACGTGATTTTTGACTGATTTTGGTTCCGTGCTTGAATTCTCCATTTTTCTTTTTCTTTGACCAAAGATGATGAAACCACGAGAAATTGGATACAAAATTTGTATTGCCCAATGGAACAGTGGACTCGGGAGAATTTATGACCATTTGATTTGAAGAAGATTGCAGATGGACTAGACGCACTATATTAAGCAAATGTCGGCACCAAAATATGAATGCTGAATTGATTGTGGGTAGTTGTATGGAAATCAAATACGAATTGCTCACCACTGAAAAGAATAACCTACCAAACTAAATGATGATATTAATACTACGGGTTGCTGGACCCAAATTGGAAAATATGGGACGCAGCATGGACGTGAACTGGTTGAATATGGCTTCCAGTGATTCATAAGATGATGAGTTTTGATTTCGGGTGTAGTTTTTGATGAATTTGAAGAATGGAAGATGATGATCAGAACTGAGGACTAGAAAGCCAAAAAGGACTTTGTCCCCTGCTGCGTTGACACTTGAGAAAGTTGGAGTGGAACTATTGATTAGGCCACATGGGGCTTTTTCTTTCATCAAGGATTGTGGAGAGCTAGATGATAGTGGACGTTAAATTCATCTGCTCAAGACAAAAGGCAATGGCTGATAGTAGACATTAAACCAAGATGATGAAACTAAAGTATTACAATAGAAATTGGATACAAAATTGAATTTTGCAATGGAACAGAGGAAAAGGGAGGACCATGGAGTAGTCGCACTACATTAAGCAATGTTATTGTCACCAATTGCCAAAAAAAATAAATTAAAAAATTGTCACCAAAATACGAATGTTGAATTAATATTGTATGGAAATTAAATATGATAAATGCTCACAACTGAAAAGATCTGCCAAACTTGATGACTTGGTCTTTCCTGCCTACCCTACGGGACGGACAATCCTATTTGTTACTCATCATTTTAACTCTTAAGTGCTACTCCCTCCGTCCCATAATTATTGTCCAATTTTACTAAATCGAAAGATTTTATTTTTGGTCAAACTTAATTATATTTTATCTTAAACAACTGGATATACCCCTACATAAGTAATTGTTTAACCACTAAGATTTTATGGACAATGTTTTTTACTAAGAACAAATGTGTAACTTGATCCATAAAAAGTCAAATTGGACAATAATTTTGGGACAAAATTTTTTGGGCAAAATGAACAATAATTATAGGACGGAGGGAGTATTATCTAACTTAATTAATTAACGATGTATATAGAGATTGGGTTCGATAAATTTAAAACTTTTGGTTTATGATTATATTTCAGAATTACATTCACTTTGCTCTGTTAGTTAATATTTTCTAAATTGCCCACGTCATTATATGGTTTACTTCTTCCCTTAAAATACATGGCCATATAATTCTTATTCATGTAAATGTGGGGTCTTTTCCCAAAAAAATTAATTAAAATAAAGGTGGACAAATTTAAATTTTTCTGAAAATTTGTGGGCAGGAATATATCTTACGGATTTCCGAAATCCGAGTTATAATTAAAATTAAACATTTGGATTTCGAAAATCAGAATCTACATTTAATAATAAAATAATAATTAATTAAATTTTGTTGAATAATAGTTTTAAAAAAATCTTACATGAACAGTGCCGTTCGGATTTGTGTAATCCGAGTCCCATTAAAAAATAATAAATTAAGGCGCGAAATATTTGAACTCAAATAAGGAGGAGTCCAGGACCTGGACTCCTTAAATAAACAGTAGTACTCGGATTTCTGAAATCCGAGTTCTCAAAAAGAAAAAAAATAAAATAAAATCAAGGCGCGAAAATTTTTGAAATCAAAGAACTGGAATACTGTAATCCGGTTACATGTATTAGTGTTATGTACTATTTGTACGTACTAGTATTATATAGTACGTTAATATTATTACTCATTATACATTATTGGTACTATTGTTATTTATTACTGTTAAATCTGTTAGTCATTATATGTTATCATTAATTCAGTATAATTTATTTGTACTAGTGTAATGTACTTTTTGTACGTACTAGTATTATGTAGTACATTAATACTAATACCCATTATACATTATTGGTACTAGTGTTACTTATTACTGTTAAATCTATTAGTTATTAGATATTATCATAAATTCAGTATAATTCATTTGTACTAATGTTATGTATTATTTGTACATACTAATATTATGTAGTACATTAATACTAATACCCATTATACATTATTAGTGTTACTTATTACTGTTAAATCTATTAGTTATTAGATATTATCATAAATTCAGTATAATTCATCTGTACTAATGTTATGTACTATTTGTATGTACTAGTATTATGTAGTACATTAATACTAATACCCATTATACATTATTGGTACTCGTGTTACCTATTACTGTTAAATCTATTAGCTATTAGATATTCTCATAATTTCAGTATAATTCATCTGTACTAATGTTATATACTATTTGTACGTACTAGTATTATGTAGTACATTAATACTAATACTCATTATACATTACTGGTACTAGTGTTACTTATTACTGTTACATTTATTAGTTATTAGATATTATCATTAATTCAGTATAATTTATCTGTATTAGTGTTATGTACTATTTGTATGTATTAGTATTATGTAGTACATTAATACTAATACCCATTATACATTACTGGTACTAGTGTTACTTATTACTGTTACATCTATTAGTTATTAAATATTATCATTAATTCAGTATAATTTATCTGTATTAGTGTTATGTACTATTTGTACGTACTAGTATTATATAGTACATTGATACTAATACCCATTATACATTACTGGTACCAGTGTTACTTATTACTGTTAAATCTATTAGTTATTATATATTATCATAAATTCAGTATAATTCATATGTATCAGTGTTATGTACTATTTGTACGTACTAGTATTATGTAGTACATTAATACTAATACTCATTATACATTAGTGATATTACTGTTATTTATTATTGTTAAATCTGTTAGTTATTAAATATTATCAGTAATTCAATATAATCTATATGTATTACTGTTATGTACCTTTTAAGCAAATAATCGCATTTTCAGAATCTGAGTCAAGCAAAAAATTAGATTTTCAAAATAAGGCCATAGGGTTTAGGGTTTAGGGTTTAACTTCGGATTTCCCAAATCCGAGTGTTACTTATACTCGGATTACCATACTCCGACTGTAACCTATATACGGATTACCAAAATCCGAGTGCAACATAAATTCGGATTACCAAAATCCGAGTGTAACATATACTCGGATTTAGGATTTAGGGTTTAGGTTCGGATTTCTAGAATCCGAGTTTATCAGGGAAACATGGAAGATTCGGATTTCGAAAATCCGATTCGTGTCCAAAAAATTACCAACACTTGTTCAAAAAAATTTTTTCCCAAAAATTAATATTTTAATCATAAAGTCGGATTTCAGAAATCCGAATTCTGATTAATTATGCCAAATTAAAAATTTACTTAGTTTTAGTTTTAATTAAAATGAATTCGGATTTTCAAAATCCGTTTTCTATTAAATTCGGATTACCGAAATCCGAGTTTACCCCGGATTCGGATTTTGGAAATCCGAAGGATATAGATTTGTCCACAGAAATTTCAAAAAAATTAATTTGGTCTACATTTTTTCTGTAAATGTGGTCCTCTAACTCGAGATACATCAATCAAACACTGTATTAATAACCTGTAATAAACTCTTCAATTATTATATTACTTATTTATCTTGAAATTTAATACAGGACGATGCACTCCAACACAAAAAGTCAATAGTAACATTGACCTTTAATATATTGCACATACAAACTTTTTTGTGTGACGAACAAATTATACCAAACTAGTTTATGATCAAATATTTATATCATTATTTATTATTTTCTATGTTTTTTAAAAATTTCCAAACAAAGTACAATGTGAATATTAAAAAATACTCGTAATGACTTTGGCCAAGTGGTAAACAAGGAAATGTACACGTTTCTGGACCAAAAAAAGTAAAATGGATTTGTTACGGACCAATAATTATTTTATTTCGGACCAAATTATCCTTTTGTCCATTTGCAACAGATCATTTTGTTCTATATATACTAGTGATGTCTGGTCGCGCATGGCCCAGTCTATCTGTAGATTTTAGAAATATTTATATTTGAAAAAAAAAAATTGTATTTGGAGCGATATATTTTAGAAATGTTTGAAGGATTTAGAAATATTTTATATTCACAAAAAAAGAAATTGTATTTCACCATATATGTTTTAGAAATATTTTATCAGTGTTACTTATTAAATATAAATAGACATAATCGAATATATGTATTGAAGTAAATGTTAGACAAAATATAAAAGCATCCTAATAAGTTTAAATATGAGTAAGATGTTTTATTGATGTTCTCCATTGGTCGTGCCAAATCAATACTTAGTTTTTGAGATTTTTGATAGCTTTATAATAAGCTTCATCTGAAGGGTATACGCTTAAAACAAAATTGACAATTCGTAACAAAAACCTAATTGATCAATTCAATTTAGACTCCATAATTAAGAAAAGAAAATCACTCTAATTGAATGCAATATAAATAAAAAATTAAAAAAAAACGTGTCACGTAAAGTACAAAAGGGGATTTAGTAATTTAGTTATGGTTAGACAAAAGGACAATTTAGTACTTTTCTCATGTCACGTGGCAATTATAGGAGGTGTTTGAAAGGAACGTCATTCCTTCCCACCCAATACAAAATCATACAAAATACTATACAAAAGTGGGATTAAAAAAAGAACTCACCACCGTATAAATTAGTGCGACCATGGTGCATAGCCCTATTGTAAAAAATGGGATAAATTAGTAGGACTGTATTGCCGGAAGAGTTTGACCTCTATACAAAATACTATTACTTCTAATCTAAAAAAAAGAGTGGGCTCTATACAAAATACTATTACTTTCCTTTTGGTCAAACACCAGCTGATGAAAACATTTCTATTTGGACTGTATTCACTTACTGGACCCTAAGCCCAAAATATTACCCAAAATATTCCGGTACTGGAAGAGTTTTTTTTATTTTTTTCATAACATTACTGTGTGACGGACCCCACATCACATTTACTGTAATTTCGCCTAACATTGCTGTGACCGTAAAGCGGCGGCAAAGGACGGAGCTCTGGCGAGTCAAATTTTCTCGAATTCGCAGCACTACTCTTGTCGCCGGTGCTACTGCCACGTGGGTGTTGTTACTGCATAACACTATTGTCGGTGGCTCCATGAGTATTCACCAAAATGCCTAAGTACAGAAACTCCGAGCTCGTTTGCGACAGCCTCTGAAGCTTCGGAACTGAGTAATCCATTCCCATACTTGAAAAAGTAACCAAACCGAAAGAAATGAATTGAAAATGGGATTCAATTGAAGAAATCAAAGAAAGCTTATGGATTAAGGTAGGATTCAATTGAATTCTGTTACAATAGATGCCTGTAGAAGGTTTGTTTCCCATTCTATGTTAGAATAGATGGAAAGTGGCGATCTGAGTTCTGGCACGGGAGAAAATGGTTTGTGACGGAGGTGCCCGAGCAACGCGGGGTGGTGGTGGAAGCGGCGGTTTACCGGCGGTGGACGGCGGCATTTTGATTGTGAGAACGTGCAAGATTTTGAAAGAAGAATCGAAAATAAAAGGGGCTGAAAAGCAATCTCATCAGTTGTGGAATAAGAAGTAATATAATTTACTC